GGCCGACACCAGCTCACGTACTGACCTCCTGGCTGCAGGCTCGTCCCCTCCAGCCCTCCTGGGCCGCCTCCATGTGGCCCGAGTCCCCTCGCTCCTGGAGGACTCTTAACAGCTCCCTCCCCCTGCCAACTCATCCTCCACGCCACCCCCAGAGCCATTTTCTGAAAACAGAAATCTAATCAGATTTTTCAACTGACTAAACATCTTGGAAGCCTCACTACCTCTGGTGGTGAGCATGTCCCAGGTGGCCAACCTGCTTCCTACAGAAGAAACGACCTTCAGGCCAAATGAAGGAGGCACCCTGAGGTCAGGGTTGCTGCACTCCAGGGAGGCCTGTCCCCTCCTCGCGACTCCCCAGGGTGTCTGTTTCTGGGGCCTTGCGCCCACCGCAGCTGCCCACACCGGCTGAGGCGGAGGGGCGCCCACAGGGTGGGGTCCAGCCACACTGCGCTCACTGCTCCGTGCAGTTCTGTGCAAACATTTAGTTACCTACTGAAGGCCAGGCACACGGGCCGAAGAGCAAAACCTTTTCCTAGACAGACAAGTCTGGGTTCAAAATCCTGGCTCTGCCTCCTACTAAATAAATCCTCGTGAGGAAATCACTTCAGGGCTCGAACGCTGGTCTCCTCACTACTACACGGGAAAGGTAATGCTACCTTGCTTACGTCTAAGCACGGAGACCCTCACCCCATGCACATTCACCCTTTATCACGGGTTTGCTCAGCTTGCCTGGAACCCCTTCATCTCCCATCCGAGGCAACCAGACGTTTCCCCGAGGTTCATCTGGGACACACAGCTAAACCCGCAACCCGCACTTCCCGTTTGCTCCGAAGCCGTGCACCATTGACTGAGCTCCCCTGCTGCCCTGCGCCCCCTCTCACAAGGGACTTACCTTGGAAACCGGCCCCAGCTTTTTACTGGACCTCAGATGAGTTATGCGACCGGCCGTGAGGATGATGACAAAAGCATGAATTTCCTCATCAAAGCCCAAGAACACCAGGCCGCCCGAACAGGCCCGCGGCGGCGCCCGGTGTGTGGAGGACGGCCCCCAGTGTGCGGAGGACAGCCCCCCATCAGGCCCGCGCGGCGAGCCGGACCAGACCCTGGCCGTGGGCTGGCAGCTCTGACTGAAACTACCAGGAAGGCCGGGGATTAAATATTGGTCCGGGTCACCGTCAACCAGTGGAATTATAAACACCTGGGAGCAGTAAGTGGTGCGGGAAGCCGTCTCCGGATACAGATTTAGGATTTTCCACCAGGGCCCGGGGGACAGGGTGTGGGGGAGGCGGGCTGTGGCAGAGCTCGCTGCCCTCCCAGGCCAGTGGTTCCTGGAGGACAAGGGCCCGTGTCCAGGCAGAACAATGGGTTCTGCCCCAGTGAGCACCAGCCTTGGCTCCAAGAGGGGTGGGGATGGCCCCGCCTGGGGGGCCAGCGACGGGGACCCCCAAGATCCCTGGGGCATCCAGGCTGCTCTGACTCGGCAGAGGCTTTGCATGGCGAGTCTAAGGCTCTGATGTGTACCCAGGCATGCTGACGAAACACCTGCTCTGCACTCTTTCAAGTGCATGCCACGCTTTCGTGACTGGGCTACAGACCCACTTGAGTCACTAAATTCATCCTTTTCACCATCTATTCTTTCCATCAAATACAGGTATTAAAAGTATTCTGAGTTTTTATCTCATTTAAAAAGATATGGGTGGCTCAGTCAATTAAGCGTCTGCCTTCGGCTCAGGTCATGATCCCGGGGTCCTGGGATCGATCCCCCATCGGGTCCCCTGCTCAGCAGGGAGCCTGCTTCTCCCTCTGCTCCTACCCCCGCTTGTCCGCTCTCTCTCTGACAAATAAATAAGATCTTAAAAATAAAAATAAAAACATATCTGCTATCAAAAGGAACCCCCGTGAAGTCAGGCTCTGCTGGCCTGGGGAGGGCTCCCCCTAGAGGACGTTCTCCAGGATGCTGCTCTGCAGCCAAGGCAAACTTCGAGGACACCCTGGGCCTGTGCTTTCTCCTCCCTTCACAGAGACACCCCGATGCCCGGCACTGACCAGGCGAAGGCCATCCCTTGGGATGGGGCTGTCGGGGGTCCTAGATGCAGATGCTTCAGGCGGCAGGTAAGACGAGCCTGCTCTGGGGGAAGCAGCTCCCAGCTCATCTGAGGGGACACCTTGGACATGCGCTACGAAGTACATGTAAGCAAAAGACCGGTGAGAGGCACGTGGGAGCGGGGACAGCCTGACTTGCAAGAAATACACATATTCGTTCAGATGACCAAAACACACTTGTCACATATACTGGTCTTGGTCCACAGTTCCCAGCTCGTGGCTCCCCAAAGCCTTGGACTCTCCTGTGCTACAACAGGACCATCTTTTGTTGTAATACTTGGCCTCCTGTCCTCAGTTCCTGAAGTCGCTTCAGAGCCACCCAGGTGCCCTGGGGGTCTTGTTACTTGTAACGAGCCCCCTCCCACAACAACCGGGCTCATGTTAACGGGGTGATTTCAGAAAGCCCCTCAAAATGGGGGCTGGTGGCACAGGGAACTTTCAGTCCTCCCGACTTCCAGAATGCTTCCAAGGGCCACCACGCTGGGCCCCAAGCTCAACTCCGTGAGGACAGCAGCTCGCCTATCCCTTCATGGAGCTGTTGATCTGCATCCTTTGACATCTTCTGTCATACAGCAGCAATCCAGTGAGTCCGTGGGCTTCCTGAGTTTCTGTGAGCCACTCCAGCAAAGTAATCGAACCCCAGGAGGATTCGCAGCTGGTCAGTGAGAAGCACAGGGGACACCCAGGACTTGCGACTGGTATCTGAAGAGGTCTGTGGGGGGGAGGGTCGGGGAGCAGTCTTGTGGGACTGAGCCCTTCCCCTGTGGGATCTGATGCCATCTTCAGGTGGACAGTGTTGGAGGAATCTCAACTATAGGACACCCCATTAGTGCCTGGAGGACTGCTATGGGTGGTAGGAGGGGTGGAATGGGGTGCAGAACCAAGAGAGGAGCACCTGCCAATTGTCAATGTGCACAGAAATTACCTGGAGAATGTTGTTACATTTAGATCTGAATTTGGGGGGGGGAGGTTAGGGTAGGGCCAAAGATCTCTGCATGTACAGGACTGGGCTGCAGGCGGGGCAAGGCAGACGCCCTTGGGCTGTCAAGGAAGACGGCTGGCAGACGTGGCTTGCCTGAGGGGCGGTTTGTGGCCAGGTGTGGGAAATAGAGCACAGCCAGCCCCGCCCCCCCGCCCCCCACCCCCTGCCGCAGCACAAGATGGGCCTGAGCTACGGCGATGGGGAGCACCCTGGTGAGGGTGAGGAGAAAGCAGCTGCGGCCACGCCTGCAGCCCCCTGGTCCTACGGAGGCAAGGAGCCGGATGGAAGGGGCAGGCAGGTGTTCAAGCACAGACCACTCTAAGGGCATTTCTTTGAAAATGTGAAGCCCTACCCAGATGGTGGATTTATAGCTGGCTCAACAAGGTCCCCCTAAAAGAAAAAGTAGCCTAAGAAAGATGATTATCAGACTGATGCCTCCACCTGAGGAAGTCTCTGGTAGCCCTGCTGGAGGGCTCTGCATTTGGCCTTGAGCTAACATGAAGCCACAGTCATCTCAGTTAATGTGCAAGGAACCAAACCAACAGGAAAGGCTAATACCTGGACAAATGAAACCAAGAGTCAACACAACCTTCAAGGGGAGAATGGATGAAAGTCAAACTGTGGGGACAAACGGAAAATCTCACCTTAGAGAAAACTGACCACGTGAGAAATGAGAAATCCCCAGCCCCCCGGGGGCTCACGTGAAAGACAGGGGGTGGGGGTGCCCGCCAAAGCAATCCTGGGCACGCTGGAGGAGAGCTCTTCCTCGGGACCGTTCATGGAGGCTGATGGAGAGGGAACGGGCGAGCCCCCTAGTTCTGCCCAAGTAGGGCGGCAGGGGTCCTGTCATGTTGGAAGGTGACCTCTCAACTCTCCCAGTGTCAAGATCCTGTGACTAAAGCAGCTTCTTCATGAGGGGACCGAGTGTGAGGAGTTTGAAAAGCGCCCTGCTCGAACCTACACCGAAGGATGCCGGTGAGCATCACTCAGCTCCATCCAGGGAGCGCTGCTGTGTGGGGCCAGCACTCAGCCAGACGGCAGGCTCCACCCCGTGCTCGCTGCTTACCAGTCGTCATGGGGCATGTGCACAGAAGGCCCGCAAACCTGCTTAGATGCTTAAGGTAGGCACATCCTCTTCTGGGTTCTCAGCTTTTATTTCAGCCTGGTCTCTCCTTTCTGGAGGCGCTGGCTCTTGTCCCGCAGCAGCCTGCTTGCCCACCCTCTGGCTCTGCGTCACGCCACGTACTACCCGCCCCCACTTACAAGATAACGCCCGTCAGTTCCCTGCACAAAGCACCTCTCCACCGGCGCCCAGGGCCTGCTGCCTGCCCACAGCATCCCTCCCCCTCCTGTGAAAAGCAGCCAGATTTTACTACAGGGAACTGACCCCTTTTCCATCGATACCACCCCCGGCAGTCATACGCCCCACACTCCGGCCAGACTGCTTCATGCCCCTCGGCCTCAGGAAGTGATTCTACAGTGGACACAAATAACCAAGGCCAGGGAGACATTTCTGGGGTTAGGGCAGACCAGAAGCCTTAAGCCAGAGGCTGCCAGGAGCTCCGCTGTGGAGCTCCCCCAGTCCTGGCGTCCTAGGCCCAGTCACACCACAGGAAGCCTGAACCTCTCAGTTACGTGAACTGCCTTTTCATTTTTGCTTAATGACAGGGTCTTACTTCTGTCACTTGCAACCAAAGGTCCTCATGGGGGATCTAAGTCACAACAGCGACATTCATTCATTCTGAATGTTATCAGGAGTATGTCCTAACCGTCCCAGGAGCATTTTAAATGTAAATACCTTGACCCAAAGATAAAAGCTCTCAAGACCGAATCTCTGAATCTCTGGTGGGGAGATCCTGTCAGACACAGAGGCTGCCCCAGGACCTCTCTCTGGGGTTGGCAAAGGTGACCCTACCTGTCTGGTCAGGCTGCCTCCGAGGTTCATGGTGCCAGAGCCAGATTTGTTGGTCTGCAGCCAGAGCATCACGGTGGAGGTCAGCTTGTAATGGGCGGTGCGACCACTGGATTTCTCCTGCGGGATGAGACAGAGGTCAGAACCCCAGGTGTGACCCTGAGCTGGGATCATTCTCACATGTCCCTTCCTTGGATGTGGGGCCACGGCAGGACCTTACAAAACCCCGGCTGGTCTCTAAAGGGACCGAATCTGCAATCACGGGATCTGTATCATCGTGACCACTGCAATCCTGACTTATCTTTATCTAACTGGCTCTGGAGCATTTTTAGGAGTGACTGGGGGGTTTACATATCACAGCATTCCCCCACCCCCCTTCAAGAAACATCTGCCAGGGAGGTGTACCTGCACTTCCACCACGTGGATGGAATCCCAGCAGCCCTTGATCTTCTTTGATCCATCTCCAGCCTTCTTTATGAGGATCACTCCAGCAAAGCCATGATCCAGATCCCAGAGGTAGACAGAGGAGACGCCACCTTCAAAATACCTGCCGGAAACAGGCCCACGTACCCATGAGATGTTAAGCCGGTCAGATTACAGATCAACGGCCCAGGGGTTCATTCGGCAAAGCTTCATCTGAATGTCTGTCTGGAATGAAGGACCTTCCCTCCCTGTGATGGTTCTAGGGTTGACTCCTGCCCGTGGCCTGAGTACCTGCTGGTTGGGGGAGGGGTCCCAGAAAGATCACGGGCTCAGGAGTCCTAAAGATGCACTGGAGTTTGAGCTCTGCCACTGACTCTCGCCCTGTGGTCTTTGGCAAGCTTCCAGAGGAAGGACCCAGCAAAGGGTCCTGGGGGTCCCTTTGGTCCCCGAATGGACGCTCAATGGGGGTCATTACCACTGAGCAGTCCTCACTGTTCCACACACCTATCTTCCGGGATGGCTATTTCACAGGGGGGATAAAGGGAAAAAAACCAGAGTAGCACACTCCTCCGTGCCAAGATCCCCCCGAGCCCGGGCCACCTGGGCTTCTGTTGGTCTTTCGGAGCAACTCTCTGCCACCCTCTAGCCGGAAACGAAGAGCTGAGCTTAGGGCAGAGCTCCCTACTCAGGTCTGAGTCGATATGGAAAAATTCCTAACTAGGAACAAATATAAGAAAAGGCCAGAGGAGAAAAGGAAATCAGGCCAGGGTCCCAAATCCAAGAGACCCAAGGCGACAGCGTGGCAGGGCCGGGCTGCCGGGGGCACAGGCGGGTCACCAGCTGCCGTGTAGGACCTCAAACTCTGCCGACGACCAACTGGAACGCTGGAAAACATGCATCTCTGCAACCTAGCACATTCTTCACCAGCAAGTCTGTGGCCTCTCTGACCCCAATTAACCTCGGCATCCACGGTGTGGCAGGCACACTCTGGGCCCCGCCGGGAGGGCCAGTGTCGTGTGCGAGCATGGGCTCAGACGCAGAGGAGCAGGGCTGGCTGCACACGTGTGGTGGTGAGCATGGGCTCGGGGGGTGCACGGACCCCAGCCCCCACCTCCAGCCGTGGCCGCACGTTCCCCACCCACCAACTCTTTACATGATAAAAATATACATGGTTAACGCTAATATTTAGAGAATGTGGGTGAAGGATACACAAGAATTCTTTGTACTTTTGGGGGCATCATTTTACCATAAGCCCAAAACCATTTCAAACTAAAAAGTTTTGGTACAAAGGTCAGTGGGTGATACACACCGGAGCGTAACAATCTGAGCAAGAGGAAGCAGCCTTTCCTCATGAGAACGACAGCCTCCTGCCGTGGAGCTGCAGGGTGCCGTGGCGCTAACCCACCGCAGGCCCCCCGGGGGCCCAAAGGGTGCACACGAGGCCTGCTACCCTCCCCGCTCCCCGCTGGGATTCCAGCCTGCTGCGGCCACCACAACCCGTCCCCGCCTCTCCGTCCCCGCAGGCTCCACGGTGATTAAGCTGTGCGATGTGATTCACACCACTGCCCACCCTCACACCCCCGGTCACCCTGGGAGGCAGGGGAGGGCGGGCCTGGCAGGGCTGATGCAGCAGATGCCGGGTGAGGGCCTGCTGGACAGACGCACCGAGGTGCCGGCCCCAGGAAAGCGCAACGCAGGGCACACCCACAACTGGCGGGGGACGGAACAGAACTCAGTGCTATCCTAGGTGACCACCAAGAAATCTAAGTTCACCAGGAGTCACACCAGTACCACTGAGGGAAGAACAGCCCAGCTAACCCCAGTCCTGCTGGGGACAGAGTGCTGGGTTCTAACACTCGATTTCCCCTTCAGTCGGCTTGTAGGGAGAGCAGCCCCACATCCAAAGGGCACAAACAGCTCTAAAAACTGTGGCTTTTCTTGGGCTCGCATGAAGAAAGGGCCAATAATCTCTTCTTTCCGTTGGTCATCCAGGAGTGAAGTCTTGACGCCCAGCGGTCATTCTCCCCTTTCCCCCCTACAGCGTGTGGCCCGATCCCCATGACCAGAGCGCGGTGGTGGTCTCGTCCAAGGCCCTGCGCACCCTGTGTGTGCTAGGATGCCAGGGGAAGTGGGCCAGGCTGCCCCGCAAGGGAACTGGGAGAGAGCCCGGGGGCCCAACGGCCCTTGACGATACTACCTGGAGACCAGCTCCAAAACGCCAGGCAGCCTACAGATGATTCCCTTGGTCCCATCCCTTCAATTTGTTTTCTTCCGGAAAGTCAAACAACCACATTCATGTTTTACAAGGTGTAACTGGCCGTTTCCACTCCAATGCCCCACCCGGTGGCCCGGCTCCCACTCCGGGCAGCTTCTCCCCAGCATCCTCCGCTTCCTTTGTGGGCCACACTGACCGGGCCCAACGTTCCAAGACATTGGAGACTGAGGAGGGCAAAATGCAAACCTAATTCTGACCTCTACGTGGGTTGCTCTTTTCTCCAAAATTAAGAAATTCATTGCAAGGACGTTATAAAACAGGGAGATTGAAAAATTAGCCCGCAATACCATATATCAACTTATCCCATAAATCTGATTTTTCCAAATCCCCTTCCAGTCTTTGTCCAGATGCATAACTTTTCTGTAAGGACAAGCACAGCCACGGTGCCGTGTTGAGTTCAGCCTCTGCGCTTGGCACAGAATCGTTAGCGCTTTTCCAGGGAGCCGCATGATCTCCGCAACGGTTTTTCATAGCTGGGGTAGGATTCCACTGGGCAGTATACTAATTTACAGTCGATCGGACTTGTTATAAAGGAATGGCAGCCGAGTTCCCTCTCCCGTCGTCGGGGTGTTCCTTATAGGGGTGAGGAGGACGCGCTGAAACCTGGACTCCGCAGGCAGGGCCCCAACGCCACAACAATTCAACAACGGACCTGCATTCCATTCACCAAAAGGCATCTCCAGGGACCGGGGCAGCAGCAAGTCTCAACCTGACGCTCTAAGACAAAGGGAGTAGAGGGCTGCGCCATCAGAAGGGGCTGGTTCAGGATCTCCCAGAACACCAGCCGCTCTGACAAGTGCCGTCAGGACCGTGGTGAGCAGGCTGGTGGCGGGGTGACTGCACGGCATACAGAGAGCCCCCCCCATTACATGGTTTACGGCTTTGCTCTGCGAGTGAAGCATTAATTAAAGAGGGACCTCAACAAGTTTTTGAAAATTTATTCTTACCTACTGTACTTTGATCATAATGACATGAAACAGGAAAAAAATAATTTTTATGTGGCTCACATTTATGAGTTTTTACATAAAGGCTTTTGTGGGTATTTTAAGAATGTGCTAAAATGTTGTCTGAAACCACATAAAGCCATCTGAGGAGTCGCCGGCCAGAACTAACAGCACACACATGGAAGCACTTTAACTGGCCTTTGTATATTTAATGAGTCAAATAGCATTAATATTGTTTAAATGCTAACATGCCATTTCAATAAGGCGGCTCTACCATCCCCAGTGCCCTGCTCTTGGGCCTTGCACGTCAATGTGAATGATCAAATGGGGCCCAGGACTGAGAGTGGGCTACGGGGGAAGCGACCGGCCCTACCCGGGGCTCTGCCAGCGCTTGATCATTTCAAAAGCCCCAGCCATCCAGGGAGGGAGGCAGGGAGGGAGGGAGGGAGGGAGGGAGGGAGGGAGGGAGGACAGGCCCAGCACCGACTGCCACAACACTGCTGTGTGAGGCAAGGCCCGGAGCTCCTGCAGTGAACTCTCTGGTCAAGTGGGCAGCTCAGAGAACTTTAAAACACAGAGGCCCAAAGACAAGAGCACAGGCTTTTTTTAGGCCTGAAACCCAGCCAGTGAAGAGGGTGAATGATCTGTGAGCTGGACAACACAGGCACAGAATGCAGGGAGACTGGAGAAGCCCGCTGGAAAGTCCTGACCCATGAGGCAGTGGGGCCTCGGGAAGCTCCAGAACACCAGCAGGGGGAGAACAGCAGACCGGAGTCAGAGACTGTGCTGGTCTCACTGAAGAGCAAACGCCTTCAGCCACACACCACAGGGTTCCACACACAGTCTCGGGGCTTCCAGGACTTTCCAGTAAGGGTGAACATTTTCTTTCTTTCTGGGTTTTTTAATTTTAATTTATTTGTTTAAATATTTTTTATTTTATTTTATTTATTTATTTATTTATTTATTTGAGAGAGAGAGAGAAAGAGCACAAGAGGGGGGAGCGGGAGAGGGAGAAGCAGACTCCCCGCCGAGCAGGGAGCCCGACGCGGGACTCGATCCCGGGACTCCAGGACCATGACCCGAGCCGAAGGCAGTCGCCCAACCAACTGAGCCACCCAGGCGCCCTGTTTAAATATTTTTTAAAGTAAACTACTCCCAACGTGGGGCCCAAACTCACGACACTGCGATCAAGCACAGCGGGCTCCAATGATAGGAGTCAGCCAGGCACCGAGGGTGAACATTTCCTACAGCACATGGAATGGCCGAGAAGTCAGACAGCTAGCCCTAAGCAGGTGGGGCTGCTGTGCGTTGGCTCCCTAAGTCAGGCCATCTGAAAACTAGTACTCAATTACAACAGGCGGACACGGGTCTCGTAAACTCCAGAAGGCCGGGGCCCCACAGGACACCTCTGTCCTGGATGAGCCAGGAGCACGCAGCATGACTGGCAGCTGGGCTACTCTGTACCAGCCAATTACAACGAAGCATCCGGTCAAGTTTACGCTCTATCATCCGATCCCTGAATGTGGACCAACTAAAAGGACAACGTGCCAGTTAGTTCTCCTGTCCTCAAGAGTTCAGCATCGCTTCTCCCGGAAAAGGACTCCTGCTCTTGAATCATGTCACAGTCACGGATACGGATTCTGTGTCCTTTAACTCTTCAACCGCAGGACCTCCGCGGATGGGGGTTGGGGGGTGGGCGGGGAGAGAGGAGAAGGAAAACATAACACTTCACACTCAAAATGATCTACTTCACAAAAGAAAGAAGGAAAGAAACGATCTCGGCTCCCGAAGCCTTATGGAGTGCTCGAAGCCGGGCTGTGCGTGGAGACCTAGCATGGAAACTTGTTCCGGGCATGTGAGCTGTGAGCGTGCATTACCCAATCCGCAGTCTCGGCCAACACCGGG